AGGTTAGAGATAACTGCAATTTCAGGATCATATAAAAATCATCTTGGGTACAAAACTATTACAGTCCATGTGGAAACGTATGGTTGGCGTATTTTAATGGCAACATATTAGCTGTTGTGAATAAGGTTTGCTGTGAGCTGAGTGAGTGCTTGATCTTGTGTGAGAGTGGAGACAAAAACTCGCAAAGAGACTTTCTACTCAGAATGTGGTTTTGCCTCTTTTTCCCACACGCTGTGTTTGTGGCTCTGAAGCTCATGTTGCCTCTCTATTGCTTTGCTTTTTTTGCCTGTGATTAGAAGGAGATGTGGCGTTTCCTGCAAAACAGCTGCTAGTATTCCCTGGTGACCCGTCAGAGCGGATCCCGTGGAATTACAGATTCAAAGGCAGACCTAGAGGACTTTGGCAGCTGCAGCAGAGGTTTCTGGGGAAAGGTGGGGGGTTGCGTTGTGTAGGATGCAGGAAGGAGGATTAGAAATGGAGTACAAGGGCATGGTAGAGAAGCTCCAGAGATTCAGGGACTGTTAAGTCTCCAACAACATAAGGGCTTCACATCTACAAACAATTCAGATTTGGCTGAGAAAGTTGGACTACATCCATGTTTCCATAGGACGTGGAGAATCTCCTGGAATAGTTTTAAGATTGCTTGCAATGCTACTGATGGAGGGTTTGCAGTGCACATTCGGACGATACGTAGCGTTGGACTTTCACACTCCTGCCACTAACTAGAAAAAATAACAGATATTGATCTGAAATTGATTCTTTAGAAAGTGCAGTTAATTCAGTGAGAGAGTGTTAAACTTGCTTCCCAGATTCAAGTCATTAATACATAAACTGTTTGACACCAAAAGTCACATGTTGCTTGTCACTTGCTGCAGTGGCTGTGCTGAGACAGCTGAGGGGTTGCAGGAGGATTAATGTGGTAAAAAGGATTGTAACTTTGATTGTGTTCTCTCTGCTCTTGGATTGACAGCAGCTGGTATTTAGAGGCAAACCAGAATATGTGTTGTTGTTTCTGTGGAGTGTAAACATCCATTTGCAAGTATTTAAATGAACTGGAAAAGTTGTCTTTTGAACTTGAGCACATTCACAGCATTGCAGGCTCTGCAGAAATGCTTGTAGGATTTAGGTTAGTAGCGTATGAGTGATAACTGCTTTTATAGTTGCCTTGCAGGGTTTCTTAATTTTTTTTTAGGGGCAAAAATTTTCATTCTACTTTAGGTTTGTTTATGCCCAGTGTCAGTGCCACTTCTATATGCAGACAGTGACAGCCACATCCACAGCTGTGTGCAAGTTCACCTGCCCTGCTAGATCTCATCTGTCTGCACATGAACTGCAAATGAGCCTAGAAATTTTTACACAGATGGCTGGTTGTCTCTTGAATGTGTTGGCACGTGAATATCTAATTTTATAACAACTATTTGAGTGCAAATATCTTTTATTTACATATTAATTTATTGCATAGGCTGTGTAATAGCCGATACCTAGATTGTATATAATTCCTTATATATACGTAAAATATTAATAGACAAACTAGTAGAAATTTTTGTGACCAGGAAATTCAGTTTAATAGAGGAGCACCACTGTCCTGGTTTAAGCAGTTGATTTTCACAGCTGACAACCTTCTCGCTTTGTCATATATTCCCACTATTTCTTTTTGAAACTTATTACCAGTGCCTAAGACTGATTCATTACGACATACAAAGTATGGGAGGAGGAAGCAAGAGGCAACCTAATAGTTCTTGAGAAGGAATAAATCAATATTTTGTTATTATTTATGCCCCCACCATCAAGATTTGTTCTTGAGGTTTCACGTCTTTGGCAATTCCAGTCTCCTGCGGCTGTGCTTGCCCAGCCTAAGCAGTGGTTTTCTGCCCCCTTGGAGGGAGTTACTCTTCCATTTCTTCACTGTGGCCCTACTTGAAAGGTGTTGCTGCCATATTCTCTTGCTGACACAAAAGTGACATTCACTTATGTGAGTAGACATGCAGATTTTACCCATCTGAGCAGCATCTGAGAACACTGATGTGTGGCACTGGCTATTTACGTCCTTTCCCCTGTATGACTTTACAGTGGTCATAATTTCCATTTTGCTTCTAGGAAATGTCAAGAGAAGCTGTGTAATGCTGGTAATTCTCAAATATGTATCAGAGCCTGTCTAAAACATAGAAGACTTTCTTTAGCCATGTTTTGAGGGAAGACAGGAGTTTATGGAGGTAAAAGGAAGCACCAAATATAGCAGTTGGTTTAATCACAAGAGTGACCACCAATCTGACACACTCAGATAAAATAAGTATTCTTGTAAGCTTTTCCTTCCCCATCTTTTAAATAAACATTTATTTAAAATAGTAGGATAGACTTTATTATCTTGACACATCACAACAGTGTCTCTTCCACTATTTTGCATGTTACAGTAAAAAAATCCAAAGTTTGATATACTGGTTTGCTGTTGGGAATTAATAAATTGAGAAGGTTGTCCAGGGAAAAGAACCAAATGTTTAGCTTGACTGAAAACCCAGTGTAAAGAGGCTGTTAAAAAATAACTTGCTATGGCATGTGATACTGAGATGGCTTTAACATATAATTTTAGATGGTCAGTATCTTGCATGTCTGTCTTTCCGGAAGATTAATTTTAATAACAGAGTAGTGTATTTCACTTCCAAATATATCCATAGGGATGATATAAAAGACACAATTTACTAGAAGGCCGTCGGTGTTGAGAATTTCAGTAGCCATGGTGAAAACTGAAGTAATTAATCCTGAATTTGTATAATTTGTATATGGAAATTGTGTTCTTTCCCAGGTTTCACTTTCTATACATCTTGGTTTTATTAGTTACATAGCAGTTCCTTTTCATCAGTCCTCAATTAATGGGAAAGTTGCACATTTTTATTAAACTAATTAAAATTAAATACTTATTGAGAAGGTTGGTGAATCTTGAAACAATAACTATTATTTAATGAAATACCCTGTGAATAAAGCTCTGCATTTCAGAGGCAGATGCACAGCTTACACGGTTGTTGCCACCAACGTGAGGTGAAATTAATATAAATTAACTGCTTCCTGCAAAGGACTTTTAAAGGCAGAGGCTGCACACAGAAGGGGTGTATGGTGGGGTGAAAACTGGCAAATGACAGCTGGCATTGGGGGTGAGGGGAGATACTTTTTGTATTTAAAAAAACATTAAGACTGTTTTGTTCTTCAGTTGTAGGAAAATCTGGAGGGAATTTCAGCATTTTTGTGTAATTAAAGCTGTGAATATGAAGACACGGAAGTGCTTAGTCTTTAATAGAAAGTACTTTTATTTAGTCATTGGAGATTGAAACAGTTTGGAATATTCTTTAATATAATTTTTAAGCATATCTCTTTGTTCTTGAGGTATTCGGCTGTTGCAAATTAATCATGGATGAATCCTTCTGCCACTGGCAAGTTTTTACTTGTGAGGATGCCAGACAAATTTTCGTGTTTTGATTCTCTGTGGGAAAATTTTTCTTGGTTATCAAACTGGGGAGTGCAGGGCTCATGATGTAAATACAAAATCCTCCCTGGCAGCAGCAGGTTGCTGCTGCTTCCTTAACCTGCTCTTTGCTGATGGGGGGATGCTGTGCAAGCTCAGAGTAGCACCCGCTTGGGCTCTTCAAGTTAAGTGCTGAAAGCTTTAGATGAGGAAAAATCGGTGTGTGTTGAAGGAGAAACTCCAGCTTGTCCGAAATTCTGGGTCTGTAGTTACAGTGCGCTTGCTGGTTTGATGGCTGTGTCGGCAGCTGGGGTACCTGGCTGATCCCATTGCAGAGGCTCTTGGTGCCAGGGCACCAGCAGCCCGGGGTCAGCTGCTGCTGAGCACGGTCCTGCTGACTGGAAAATTCCTCGTCCCACAGTGCGGCCGCTGCTGGGGCTGGGGAGCACTGGGGCTGGCTCGCTGCAGGGTGAAGGGGATGGGGAAACGGTGTTCCTGAAAATGGGGGAGTAGGACTGCTAGGGCACCTCTCAGCAAAAAACAAACCCTGTCTCCTGTAATAACCTTGTAGCTGTGCTGAAGTTCTCAGCCCCAAGCCCCTTGCTTGCAGCACAGCGTGACCCAGCCTGTGCTGGCCAGGCACTTGTCCCCTGGAGAAGGACATAATTTATAAAGAATGGACAAACACTTTCTTAAAGCAGTCTTTCTATTTAAAAGTCTCAGGGACAGGACATTTAGCTTTTAAATAATCATAACCAAACGCAAACAGTTGAACTGAAGCTGGTCTGTCCTGAAGCCTGTTCTGCTATTGCAGGGTCAGCAAGGCCTTGCTTTGTGCAGTGCTTAGGAAGTCTCTGGTGTGAGCGTGAGCAGTGCTTGCACAAGGGCCTGACGTCTAGATGCAACTGATACATAAACTTCCTGCTTTTCTGCACATGCCATTTGCTGTGTGTGATAAAAAACCTGGATTGATGGCTGGAGATCACCTCCAAGCAGAGCCAACCTCTGCAATGGCTGGCAGCAGTAGACCTCTCACTACTTCTCAGGCTTTCAGTTGTCTTCCTTGCAGCTTCCCATTAAACTTGAAACAAAATAGCCATAAAGTAAACTGTCCAGTAACTGGGTCATATGAATTCTTCATAAACCATTATAGAAGCAACCTCATGTCTGTCACAGAGTGTTTCACCAAGTCGTCTGAGCAATTGCTACATACTCTACATGGAGGAGCTGGGACACCTAGTGTACCTTATGCAGATGTTGGTGGTTGCTTATTGCTTAAGAAATGGTTTGAGATTTCTTGGTGAAATTTTCTGGTAGATTATTAGCATTAATTTTACTATTTTTTGCAGTTTTCAGACCACTGCTTTGAGTTGGTTATGTTTAATTATCATTTAGCTTGATTACATTCACAACAGTGATGAACTGGTGTTCTTGGGAGTGATGAAATCATTGTAGCTAGCATAGAGAGGAACGATTGCCTCTTCCCTGACTCTTTTTTTCTTTTAGCCTATGAAATGCTATAAGGTTTATTGTTTTTCCATTGCAGAACGAAGACACGGTTCAATGTGTAAACCTTCCCCTTCTCCAGCTTCTCCAGCCTGCAATTCCAGGACATCCCTAGTACAGATGAAACCGAAATCCTGTATCAGCGGCCATAACCCTGTCAGCAGCAACTCAAAGCCATTCAAAACGCCCAAAGACAATCTACTTACCTCCAGTAGCAAACAGCACACAGTCTTTCCTTCAAAAGTGTCACGGGATAAACCATGGTAAGTACCAAAATAATAGCTACCAAAGGTGTGGGTGTTCAGAAAATAAGTATCTCTGTCTATCTCATATTCATCAAGAAAAATCTGTGTTCTCATCTTAGATAAGTTTGCAGTTTAAGCCTCTGCATTTCCTAAGAGAGGAAACTTGAATGTTTTCAAATTAAAAAAAAAAATTATATATATATACATTTATGCGCACACATACATATATATAGGAATAGGAAAAAGGACTGGATGTTCCATCAAATGTTTTGCTTTTCAAAAACCTCCATTTTCTATCTTTTAGGTCCATCTTCTGTTACAGTATCTGCCCTTAAAAGTGACGCTTTTAAAGAGTAAGATAATTTTTGCAGAGTTCTTAATATTGCCTTAACTGATATTCAGGAAAACTTACTGGTAATAGTCATTTATCTTCAACAGCAGCTGTTGTTGAAGTTCATTTGGTATTTTGATAATGTTTGATGCATTATAAGAAGGCAGAGGAAAATTCTGGCTGCCACTATTTGGGGGGTATCTTACATCATGTTCTGTGATACATATATATGTACAGGCTTTGAGACTGCCAGGCCCGTCCTCCCGTGACTGTGATGGTAGCAACAGAGTTGCAAAAATGCAAAGGAAAGGAGAACTGGGTCACTGTTTTATCCCTTAAGAAACTGGTTGTTGTTAGTTATCTACAGAAAAGGTGCTTTGTGATTAGGTCATTAGGTTGATGACTCGAGATCAGGTTCCTGGTTCTGCACAGGCTACTGTTGTACCTTAGTCTCCTCAGCCTCAATTCTGTGTCTGTAAAGTTGAAATAGTAATGCTTCCTTTTTCTTAAATGTTATCTGCTTACTGTGTAAATATCCTTCCTTCTTCTATGCTGTATCTGGCATGAGAAAGTCACGGGTTTAGGTAGGGTTCCTGGACACAACTGTCTTAAAGCAGTAAATCTAAGGTAAACCATTCTTTCGTGAGACAAAGCATGAAGTCAAATTATGTTAACGTAATAGCTCCAGTTTTCTCCCTGAAACATTCACTGGTTGGTGGGATTTCAAAGAGAACAGCTTCTGCCTACCTGTAGAATTTACCTTGCAGCGGAACAAACTTGATCGAAGTCTAATCTTCCTACAAATCTGAACCCACCATCTCTAGAAATATGATGAGCATTGCAGACAATTATGATATATCATTCTGAAAATATAAAATCTGGATGATTAGATTACACACACACATATACACAGATGAGACAGAGCATTCCAATTAAGGTCTGCCTCATTTAGTATTAAAAAAAGTGCTATTGACTGAATAGTGACCTTTTCTTCCGAACGTTGAAGAGGATTTTATACAAGAGGATTTATTTCTTTTTTTTTAAGTCTTATTAAAGAAAAATCAGAAAGGACCTTAGATTATTACCACTATTGACTATAAACCTGTTTCTCATCCTAGTGTTACAGACAGCAATTTAGAGATCCACATTTCAGCATATTAACTGAATCTATAAACAATATCTTCCATTCTGGCAACAGATGGCATTCTGTCAGTCAGTAGAAGCCGGAAGGGAACAAAATAACTGGGCATTTCCACCCATCCCTTTTCCCTTTATTGGGAACATCCCAAACATTTTCTGGTGATTATCAAGGTAGATTTAGCCGTATAAAAATGTTGTACTGCTCTGCTAATATTTTAGCAATAAATATGTCAGTAGTTGTACCTGTGAATTACCCAATTCCTGCAGCTCTGCTGGGAGATAATGCTGTGGTTTTGTTTACCACTGGGGAAAATGAGGCGTACAGTAGTTAAAGATATTGTAATCATCACACAACAAATCACAAACAGTGTGAAGTGGAGATCAGTGAGATTGTCTTTCAAAATAAGTGTTAAGTGGGTTAGATTGCATGACTTGTTAGAGAATAAAATCAGTCTGATAATCATCACAGGTTATAGAGAGCTGACAGCTGTTACAGAAGGTGCGTGTTCCTATTCCATTAGTGGATTATCATTTTTATTTAGGATTCTAGAAAATATTCAGCAGGTCTGATTTTTTTAAAGGAGAAATTATTCATAAAATTAATTCTTTTTTATGATTATATCTTCCATTCAGCTTTCTGCCTAGATTTTCACCCACTTATCTTCTGGGAGGAAATACTCAATTGGCACAAATACATTTGTCTCAAAATGCAAATGGGATGCATTATGTATCCAAGTGTGTTGTGGTTTATCATCTTCAGAAGCTTCCAGTTATTCAGTGTTTTTGTCTGTTACGTTTTAGTCTCATACCACAAATATTTACTTGATAGGGATTCTTCCAGAAAGTTATCAGATTAGCTTATCATTGGTAGTGGTTGCTTTCCATACCTGGAATAACCATTGTTGCACTTGCCTAATTCTTTCATACAGCATCTCTTTTTTAAATTTTAGCTGTGACAATTAATAGCAGGGTTTCGGCAATGTCTTCTGCAGCAGCACAGACCAGCAGATCTGTCTGCTGTCATGTCTGCCTGTGTGTGGACCCAACTCTTCTGTTGTTTAATTCATTGTAGCTTTGGTTGAGTCATCTTAAACACTGACCAAGTAGCTCTTTCTCTTCTTCACATCCTGTGTTGTTCCAAGATGTGCTGTAGAGGTTCAGGTTGCTCCTTGGCTAATGCTTTAAAAAGCAGGATCAGAATGATCGGATGAAAGAGATCTGGAACAGTTTCATTTTTGTAGCTGCTGTTTTAATACTTCCCTTCTTGTAGTTGGAATATGAAGGATTATTGTGAATACATCATCCAGGAATATCTGTCAGCTCTGATTTTTTTTCTCCTTGTATCTCTCTGAGATCGTTGCTATTAATACAGCAGTGCTTAGAGACTGGAGCAGTGCTGGAGCACCACTGCGCTCTGCACAAGATAAATGTAAACCCTCGTTTTCTGAAGCTTGCAGTTGAGATGCACAAGGGTACAAAATAGACAGAAAAAGGCAAAGAATAAGATGACGGGTAGTAATAACAGTAATAATGAACAAACAATCATAATTAATAAGGCTAGCTCAGATATGCTTTCTGAAAGGCATTCCTGTTAGCCAGCAGCTCTCCCTTGCTGCTGACCACCCCAAAGGATGCTGCTTCACTTGCTGAGTGCCAGCACAGCTTCTGAGTGCTGCCATAGAGGTTTTTGGTGCTGTGGTGCTACAGGGTATTCATTTCCACCCATTCTCCATGTGAAACTGGGGTAAGGCTGGAGCAAGTCTCCTGGACCTCCCTCCATGAGGATTAGTCATTGCCTGCCAGAAGGTCAGAAAATGAGGGAATTACAGTGGTTTTCATCAACATGTAGAGAACTGACACTCTCTCAGAACAGAAATAGGATCACAAAGGTAAACCTATAGGTTATCATTTAGAATTTATGATATTACTTTTCAAAGGATTTTTTAATCATCTCTTAGTTTTTATTTCTTTGTGTTAGGAAATACCATTATTCATACTGAGGTTGAGAAAGTGAAGCTAGTTTAAGATTTGAGGATATTCCTAATGCAGCATGGAATTGGAAACAAAATTCAGCAGAGATAACTTGGGCCACATATTCTAACACTAAATCACAAGTATTTTGTTACACTACAGAGGCAATCCCAGCAACATAGAATAGAGCAATAGTTTATGTTTTTAAATGTCTGTGAACTTCTTTTCTCACCAGATTTGAAAAGAATTGAATGAATGACTGAGATTTTAGAACAAATACAGTTATGAATGACCAAACCAAAACCCCAGCAAAATTACATAACAGCAAGGAAAAAATAATTGATAAAAGCCTGAAGAAATAAAAACAGGAGTAATAAGGAGCTCCAGACATGAGGAGTGTTGTGACATACTGCAGTTATGTTTCTTGCTTGGGAACAACAGTGACAGGCAATGGCTTGGAACTGAAAAAACTTGCCGCAAGATACTCAAGAGGAAAATTCACTCAGACTGTTTTGGGAGTTTTTCACAGGTTCTGCTGAAGGAAAGGACAGGAATGGAATGGAATTGACTAGAATTATCTGTTTTCCCTCAATCCTGATTCCATCAGCAAATCTTATATTTGTTTCTAAAGACCCATGAAGTTTTCAGTGGTGTCAGACTTGGTAATGATGTCTAAAGCATTCCCCTAGCAAGCACCCTTATTGAATCATAGTGCTCTGAAAAACTAGTTTTTTATTTTATGTTGTTTTAACAATTGCTTTTAAATTGTTCTTATTTGGGTTTTGGAATGCCTTTTGAAAGTGGAAACATTTTTACAGTTACCTTTGTCACCTTAACTGGTAACCTCATCAAAAAGTGAAACCAGGCTTCTCTCCCAAAATCTGATTTTCAGCAAAACTATGTGACCTAATTGTTTGTCAATTTAGTTTTTCCATTGCTTACTGGGTTTTCAGTGTGGATGCAACAGCAGCACTCTGCTATCTTCTCTCAGTTGCCAAGTGTTTCAAGGTTCAATGAGATATTAATATGCTGAGACCCACTATCTCTCCAACTGTTTCGGAACTCATGGCCACATTATCCAGACTTGCTTATGTTAAAAAAATAAATCATGATTTTTCAGCTGGCAGTTTACACTTGCTGGGGGGAATCAACAAGCATCTTGATCTGACTGGAGAGCATTATCAAGCTTCCTTCTTAGTACAGATGCAACACTGAACATTTATGTCATTTTTGCACTGGCAATGACTATTTTACTGTCCTTTAGGTAGATATTGCTATTATTAGAATTTCTTTTGTTAAAGAAAAAAAATAAACTTGTTTTAACTGAATACAGATTTTTCTCACCTATCTTTGGCCAACTCCCATTTTCTCAGTTTTACTTAATTATCATGATCCTTTCCTTGGTTTTCGTTTGTTGCATATTGTTTCTCTAATTGTCCCTTTCAGCAGGTGTCTTTAATAAATCTAAACAGGCCCTTCATTCAAAGATCCTTTTGAAAATATAGTAAATAAGGTGATGTGCAGCCAGGCAGGTGTTGCCTGTCTTGGGACACTGTCAACAGTGTGGTCTCTGGCAAGGAACTCTGCTTACCCAGACTGCATCCTTAAGCACACCTCAACATATATCTGGATATAAGAATGGTTGTGTGTCTAACAGATGGCTCTGGAGTTTTGAATGCTTGCAGAAGCTCTGCACCACCATGCAGAATGACTGCAGTGATGTGCAAGAAGCAGATTGTTCTTTGAGTGTAGTTTGCTAAGGAGTAATTTCTCTCACTGTGAATAGGCTTTATTTTACCTTTAAGCATGTACATGAAGTTAAACCTTTAAGATAACACTAAGATTAAAGCATACCCGAGTTTAAAGAATTTCTGCGTGGGACAGCTTCCTCTGCTGTCACCTTTATGCTGGAGATTAAAATTACAGACGTTAGCTTAGTTCTCCGCAGTTAAGAAAGAAAAAGATTGGAATACTGTTAAGGAGATTCTCGTGCTTCTGGATGAGGAATGTGTTTTACTTTTTACCCATCACCATTGCATTTGTATTTAGGAAAACTTGTGTTTCTTTTGTTTGCTCAGTGTGGAATGATAGTCTGAAAACTGTCAGTTTTGCACAATCTGTGTGTGAATTAGCTTATAAGGCAGATAGTCAGCTGTTTGGCCAAAGCAGCTCTTCAGGTGGTATATGGGAAGAGCTGAATAAGTGAGACATTTTAATTTTCAGCCTCCAATGAATCTGGGCTTAAAGACTGAGAATTTAGGGGGTTTTAACTAATATTTTTTTCTCTGGGTTCATTTCAGTAAGGAGGGGTGTATAATTTATACATTATATACTAATTCATAGTCACAAGACATCCTCTTTTGGAGTTGTTGGGTAGGTAAAAAGCAGCTGTTATTAATGGGTATTTCCTCATGGAGGCAGGAGCCAGAAGTGTTAAAATCATGTTGGAATCGAAAATCACTTGTCTCAGTCTTTTGCTGCCAAATTGAGGAGGTTAACACTTGTTAGTGTCACAAATATGCTGTGGTGGTAGTCAAGTTAGAAGAAGTTACTTTTTTAAACTTTACTCTGAAAAAGACCAACCAACCAACCAATAATTATATTGGGAAATTTTGTTTGAAGTTCATAACTTTTTATTAAAAATACATTATAGTAATTCTCAATTCATCAAGAATTTTAATACTTTTAAAGGGACCACTGTTGAGATTTCTGTTCTTAAAATCTCTTCTCTCCTTGTTTTCAGAACTTGTGTGTCATTCAGACACATCTGAACAAATAAATTATATTTGTATTTGTTTAAAAATATTAATACTGTTAGCAAACAACTTCATTATCACAGAATCATAATGGGTTTGGGTTGGAAGAGACCTTAAAGATCATCCAGTTCCAACCCCCCTGCCACAGGCAGGGACACCTCCCACTAGACCAGATTGCTCAAAGCGCCATCCAACCTGGCCTTGAGCACTGCCAGGGATGGGACATCCACAACCTCTCCAGTAAACCTGCGCCAGTGTCTTACCACCCTCACAATAAAGAATTTCTTCCTAACATCTAATCTAAATCTTCCCCCTTTCAGATTAAAGCCATTCTGCCTTGTAAAAAGTCCCTATCCAGCTTTCTTGTAGGCCCCTTTAGATACTGGAAGAGGCTCTAAGGTCTCCCTGGAGCCTTCTCATCTCCAGGCTGAACAACCCCAGCTCTCTCAGCCAGTCTCCATAGGAGAGGTGCTCCAGCCCTCTGATCATCTTTATGGCCTCCTCTGGACTCAATCCAACAGGTGCACGTCACTCCTGTGTTGCGGGCCCCAGAGCTGGATGCAGGACTGCAGGGGGTCTCACCAGAGTAGAGGGGCAAAATCACCTCCCTCAACCTGCTGGTCACACTCCTTTGATGCAGCCCAGGATATGGTTGGTTTTCTGGCCTGCAAGCACATGTTGCTCACATCCTGGTGAGTTTAGTGCAGCACACACATATCTGTGTTTGTGTTAAAGGCATGAGACCATATATGTAAAAGGTTATGTTTTGTGTAGTACTGAGGACTTATTTTGTTTATGAATCATAGAGGATTGGATCTTAAAAAAAAAAATATATATATATACATAAACCACAGTTCATTGTCATAATTCTCTTCCAAGCCACATGCCTGGCTTTAGAAACATTTGATTGGACAAATAGTCAATAATGGTAGTAAGTATTTCGTCTTAGTCTGGCCTTAAGATATTGTGTCCTTTGCATCAAAATGTTTTGTATCTGTGAAAGAGGATAAAATAACAGAAAATACAACCTGAAGAATTTTCTTTGGTTTTGCAGCGTTCCTGTTCCAGTAGTCAGTCTAGAGAAAATTCCTAACCTAGTGAAGGCAGATGGTGCCAATGTTAAAATGAATTCTGCAACCACTACCACCATCACCTCCTCCTCAACGTCTTCATCCACCATACCTCCTCCAACTCTGGTTAAATCTGGTTTGACATCCAAGTCAGTGCCACCATCACCAGAAAAGATTCTGAATGGCAAAGGAATTGTAGCTCCATCAATAGACAAGAAACACCAAAATGGCACTAAAAGCAGTAACAAGCCTTACAAAAGACTGTCAGGTGAGTGATGATGTACTTCATCTTTTGAGGTTGTCAGTCTTTCTTCATTACTATTTCAACAGCTCAGATTTCTATAGCTGTAAAATGCAGTAGCCTGGTTTTGGTTTGATTTTTTTATTGTAAGATGCCAGTTTGCATTGTATGAAGAAGAAAGCTTCCACACTCTTAGCATGTGTAAAACATTTTCAAAATATATGTTATATTAAGGTTGAAATTAGAGTGTTTTATGTATTTCTCAACTGACCAGTAGGTCAAATAGAAGTTTTTAAGGAAGTAAGTTCAGTAAAACAGAAAGGCAGAAGGCATTATGTGATCCGGGTCTGTACACAAAAGATGTGCCTTAGCTGGGTGACACCAGCATAGTCAGGATCAAGTTGAACAGTTTAGGTCTTAAGATTATCCACCAAGTCATGATTCTTTAAAGAATCTTCTTTCTTGGTTTTAAATACTGGAAAATTCTAAGAAGATATGGGAAATGCTGGGGGAAGTCTTAAAAGTCATAGCCCTCTTTCACCCTCCTCCCCCTGCAGTTCCCACATGAGTAAAGATGTTTGTAGTGCGTGGATCTTGAGTTTTCTCAGCAAGACAGGATGGTAGGGTTGAGGGATTAAATGTGGAAATGCCCTGGATGGCCTTAGGCAGCACAGTATTGAGAATGTAGGTACCCATGCAAGCCAGCCACTGAAAAACAGAATTATCCCCCATGGGGAGGGCAGAGGCTCTGTTAGAAAGGGTGATGCCATCCACTGGGAGAAAGAATTATGTTCTGTGGTATTCCTCAGAGGTGACTCGTACCAGCTGGGGGGCAGCGAATAGAGAATTTTCCCCCAAAGCTGAAAACATATTTTGTGGTGAATGAAAGGAAACAAAGTGTTTTGAGGGACTTTTGTGTGTGTGTGTGTGTGTGTGTGTGTGTATGTGTGTTAAGCAAAAGTAACTGACTCAAGTTTACCGCTTCAGAAGCTGTGCAGGGTCTATTCATCAGCTGGCAGTACTTTGTGATTTGGGCAGCACCTTCTTGTGTGCACTGAAAGGCTAATTTTGCTAATGGCAGCATGGTCCACATCAGCTCATCAGCTTGGCAGAAAGTTAGTTCACAGGATTCTAAAATGTGTAGTAGTTACGAACCAAGTGTAAGGTGTACAAGATAAATGCTTTCATTTCCAGTTAATGAGTGTGCCCTGGTTTTTTGTCTGAATATCAGGTTTATTTTTTTCATCTCTCAGATTTGGCAGCCAGCCTATGGTACTGCTGCCTTGGCTTGATTCCAGAGCAGTGTGAAGTGTTTGCTAGGGCTGTGTGGGGTGTGGAGCAAGGCCATTGCTTTAAAGGATTCAGTAACTGATTGCTTTCTTAACTCCTTAAGGGTGCCATATAAGAAAACAGTTGTTCATTTATAGCCTTCCACAAAACAAAAAAATACCAGGAGAAAGTAGCTGATAAGACTTTTAAACCTTACATTTCACTTGCTAAGATCCAATTTGTTACTCTAATAAAACCTCTCTATAGTTAATTTAAAATATTGCTTTCTCTTAACCTATTATTCCCTCTAATGGTTTAGATGTTCAGTTTAGCTAATAATTCTGAATTCCTACTTGGGCAATAGAAACTGATGCTATTTGAGATACCTGTTTTCCCTATGTCACCACATACTGCTGCAGGGCTGTAGGTGATATTCATGCCTTTTTTGTACAAGTGCTTGCTGAAATGTGTTCATAGAGGAGAATCATTTCTGTAGGGCCTTCCTTCAGCTTGCTTGCATTTCCCATGGATGTGACTCCATCGCTGTTCTGTCTCTAAGCCGTCACGTGCAGTGTCTCCTAGGCTGGGGAGTGTTTCACTGGTGGAGATTTCTGCACAGCACTGAGACTCTGATAGTTAACTTTTATATGGTTAACGAATCCACAGAATTGATACTTTTTTTTTTACAGCTCCCCTGTCACGATCAGATTTGGAATCTATTCAGGCTTCTACTGCCTCTTGTATTGATGCAGCAACAGAATAATGTAGCGATGATGCAAACAGAAGTCCTGAAAGCGCTGTAGATGAATTGCCTGTAGATTGTGTGTCACTATGATGGATTCCTCTCCATTATTACACAGGACTTTGCAAAGGCTGAGTAAAAGATCTTGGAAGGTCAATGAGATGATTATTTTAAATATCCCATAAATTTCATTCAGTTCTCATTAAAAGAAGGAGGCAATGCCTAGAGGATTTAAGTTTACTCAGCATCCTGCAGTCCAGCTATTAATTTTTGTAGCCTTTTAATAGGTCTGGCTGGTTCACATCTGTTTTCTTTCCTTCTTAGCATCCTCCTCTCTCACTCACACCATTTCCCTGACTGTGGCTGAAGTTTGGGGGTTTTTTTGTTTGCTGAAAGCTGGTGGTTGGTTGGATGATAAATGGACCTGTCCCTCTTTTCAGGAATGCTGTTGTAGTGAGAGGAAACAGCTTGTGGAACCACAAAAGATGGTCTGTAGCTGCCCAGCATAAGTGGATCAGTGTTCCCTAATAGCAAACTGCAAAAATACATGGCTTATATATATATATGTATATATATATATATTTATATATATATAAAATAATTCTTTTCCCCCTAAATCTTCGTTAGTCCTTGTTCTCTTTGAGGTGAAGTTAAAGAATGCAGATGCCCAGTTTACCCCAAGAATATCTGTTGTATTGAGGCAATTCAGGCCCTTCGTTTCCTTTCAGCGAGGTGATAAAGAATGCCCTACTTTGTCCACCAAATGTAGTGTTTGCTGTGCTGTGCTGTGCAGAGGAGTCTTTGGGTTCTCACACTACACATTCCTAATACAGTGGCAGTCAGAAGCTGCATTTTCTTATTGGTAAGAAGGTGAAAATCTTCCTGTGTTACCCAAACCAGACTTGTCTGCAGCTGTTCATGATTTCTCTGGAACAGCAACACACACTTCAGGCAGGACAAGTGGTTCCGGTTCCCTGTTAGTTCAGTATTTTCTGTTCCTCAGGGAAGGTGTGGGATTTTGTTGTTTGGTAGGTGGCAGATGCTTCCACTTTTCCTGACTATGGCTTTCACTTTTCCTGACTGTAGCTCCCTATGTTGTTTTTACCTTGGAATGTTTTCCCGACAAATGGCTTTGCTGTAATCAGTCCTGCAAGTCTTGCTTGGGTGGGACAGTCATACTGACAAGTAGCAATCTGGATGGATGCTCCAAAAGGAGCACTTCTGATTTTTGAAGTGCATTTCCCCATGAGTCCAAAACAGTCCTCGCTTGGTGACTTTCAGAACACGTTCCACGGCCTTACAGTTACCCTCAGGATTTTTCATTTGAAGGCATGTTTATAACCTATATGGTTTATTTGGTGTTTTTTCATTTGGGCTGAAGGTTATTAGATGGGTGATTCAGGAAACTGTGATAGGAAGGAACACTGTACACTCAAAAACCAGGAATAATTAACTCTTTTGGTTCATGAATGTGTTTTCATTCATTAAATGGAAAATTGTAGCATTTAGTCATACACAGCTACTTCTGTGTTTCTGTTGTGTCATAAAGGCCACAGAAACTGCAACGACTTGTGACAGATTTCAGTCCCTTTATCAAAAAAACAGTACCAACTATTTTTTCCAAGCTCCCTTTTTGGTAGGTCTCTGCTAATAAGTTGATGACAGAACCATTTCATGTTTGCTTTATTGTTTTGGAGTCCACATAGCAGAACACATAAAACTGCTAGTAACTGTGGCACCTGGATGACAGTTGTCTAACGTAGACTGCTTGGCCTCGTGTCTTCTTCCAGCTGTTCTGCTTGCTGTGATGCTGTCATAACATTGCAGCAGAGCTGTGAATTGCCTCTTCCTCTTAGCTCTGATTTGTTTGTTTATAAGGAATTTTTAGATCCTCAGAGGTTGCATTTGATACAGGATATTTATTGTATCTGAATGCAACACCGCTGTAGAGTTATAATAGGCTTTGACAAATAGTTGGTATTCCAGTATCCAACAAAAGCAAACCAGGCTGCCAATTAAAACATACCATATCAAGGCATAGAAATATAATGATAGATTTATTTTTTCTTTTGGTGGCATAAACTACAATGTGTAAGTCCATAGTTTTGTTACAGCTCTACAGTGCAAACACTAAAATTTTATTAACATGACCTAAAGAAGATGGTGCTATGGTATAGAAATACTAAAGTATTAATGAAAATAAAATATGGAAATACAGACTATTAACTATTAGTGATTTTTAATGTTAATCATGAGTAAAACTGATGTAAACGCCTTTTTTTTTTTTTTTTTTTGTGTAACCTCTGCACGCTAGAAACTCCATCCCTCCCTCCACTTAGGGAAATAAGAACTAACATACATGTTATATTTACACAAACTTAGGGGACAGATTCAGAGATAAGTTTTGTTTTCAAAATGCCATTAGTAATCTTGCATTTACTTTTGAGACACCATGGGTTGTTTTTCAGAGTTCTGAGTGTCTCAAAGAAATGTTGGTGAAAGCACTTGTGATATTTAGCCTCTGTGTGTTTCAGCCAAGCTGAGAAGCTGGATTTGCACACGCAGTATTTTGTGGTCTCAGAGGCAGCCAGCATCAGAGGGGGAATTGAACTCACGGGTGTTTGGCTTGGTCCTATGTTTGGGCCACTCTTCAGAGCACAGCCTTGTAAGACCAGTTATTTCTGACAAGTCTGTGACTGAAATCCTGCACCAAATAGTTTGAAACATATAAGGACAAAACATGCCCAACTGTAAGAGTGATGGATGTGGCACAGTTGTGGGGTGCTGGGGTAGAGATGAATGGTTCAGGTTGAGCCTGGTTGAATTAAGTTTATCAGGCAAAAATTATAGCTACTCTGGTTAAAATTTCTGTAACCTAATTTTTTTTTTCTCCTTTTTCTACTCACCCCCCATCAAACAGAAAGAGAATTTGACCCAAATAAACACTGTGGAGTACTGGATCCTGAAACAAAGAAACCTTGCACAAGATCGCTCACCTGCAAGGTATTTTTCTTAGAAGATAAAATATCAGATGCTTTGTTATAGTTTAAATCCTGCCACAGTAGTTTGAGAGGTCATACCTGCTCCTGTCTTACAGACAATGGGTATGGTATTCAGACGCTGTTTTCAGGTAATTCTTTTGAGTAATTCTGTTTCTTTGAATCAGAGCATCTGTCTTATTCCACTGATATTTCTAAAAAGATCTTTTTTCTTGTCATTTTGTTATGCAAAAAGCATTAAAGTGTCATGTAGAAGCACAAGTACTAACTTTAAATGCTCCTTTTTTGGTTCATATGTGCAACAATGTTGTAGTCAGTTTTTAGTAAAAAAAACATAACATTTTTGTATTATAAATTAATTGGAGGCTGCCCTTGTGATAGTAATAAGTCTGATGTCAAAAAGTAACAGCAGTGTAAGACATAATGAATATTTGTATGTGCCTGTACTACCTGTCAGTAGAGGTGATCAGTTAAATTCACTTTAAAATGTGGTTTTTTCAATCCAATGAGATCAATTTTTCATTATTAGTTAAAAGCTACAATAATGTTGCTTCTTAATGCTTTGAAGTTATTGGAATTATATTTTCTGTCTTGGAAAAGGTAACTCAATAAGACTCGATTGTATGAAAACATTTGCAAGAAGTAATTTTAGCCTTGATGCTGGCATTTCTTAAGAATGACTTCATAAGTTCTCAAAGATAATGTAGAATAACAGCTTTATTTCCATAACTGTGTCTAAAGTTGTTTGAAGTAGATTTTATCTTTTAGAGTTGTGGTGTATCGGAAGTATAGAGGACTCATAAACAATGTCATGCACACACAAATGCTTTTTAACCACCCTATTTTTAGACTCATTCACTTAATCATCGACGAGCAGTTCCAGGCCGTAAAAAACAGTTTGACATCCTTCTAGCTGAACACAAAGCTCGATCCAGGGAAAAAGAAGTTGCAAAAGACAAAGAGCATCCACCATCTGCAAGGGAAAGCTATCAGAGCCAGCCCACACCAGCACAAGACTCTCTGTCAGGATCTTCAGTGAACTCTGGGCAAGAATCTAAAGTAACATCTCCTGCAAAATCTAGACCACCAAATTCTGTACTTCCAAGGTAAGCAATTCTCCAGTGTGGAATGTTGCATTCTGAAGGTGCTGTAAGAAATGTCTTAGTCTTTGGTACAGCTCATTTTATAAGCATTCATCACTTCTTTAGACTACTGCATGGTAAAACATGTAAGATTTTCTGCTAGCAGTAGAAGATGCTTATATAAACCTAAATCTGTCCATGGTAGCCTGTGATCTGATTGGGAATAAGGTAAGGAGTGATGTCCACCCTAAACTCAGAATCTCAGACTGACTGCTTTTTTTGGCTAAAATAGTAATAATTAGGAAAGGTCACATTCAAGTCATTCTGGCACATTTGAGAATAAAAGTCTATTGACATGAATTAGGGTAGGTGTCAGTGGGGAAATTCTGGACATTTATGTAGAATATTTCTCTGCAAATACTTCGTCAGTTACATCTGTGGAATGCCTTGTAAAAAAAGGGGATAATTTAGTGTAAATGACCATGTAAGCAGCTAGTTCTTATAGGTATTGATTTGAAACTCTCTGTAGCATGTCTTTGCTCATTTGGGAAATTTTTCTTAGAAATAGGAAAAAGAATCTTCATAAAGACCATACAAAGACATTCCTTTAGGAAAGCTAGTGTGAGGTATTTGATCTAATTGGAATTCTAATTATCCTCTGGTAAACTTCCCCTATGTTTTGTGTGGGGTTTTTCTGGTACTAGCTTTGGGTGGAGCAAATAGAGGTAAACCAGTTGGTTTTGTTCATATTTATCTTGCTTCACATTTCTTTTCTTGCAGAAGCCTTGGTCAGGATTGGGTGCCCATTTGGGGGCTTTTGTACAAAGTCTCTATTTCAAAGAGTTATTTGCTGTATTTGCTATCTCAAGTCTTATAGAGACAGCATTTCCAATGTTTTCTGTGTGTTCATTAAGCAGTAATGACATTTTATTTGTACAGTGGCAGAGGTGGGTTTTGCAGGGTCTGAGTGAAAGGACAGGAAAAGAATACCCACAGATAAATTGGTGAGAGATCTGCATAATTCTTGGACAAGGAGTGACTTTACACAGTCCTTACATAGAGAGGAGCACGGAGGGACAGGCAGGTGTTTTTAGTAGCTGTTACGGTGAAAGAAGCAAAAGTGGAATGCAATTGAGTGAGAGTCGGGTGAAGACATTGCAAAGGCAGTAGATGGGCAAGTTTTTAGCTGTCATTCATTATACAATCTACACTTTCATTTCTGCTGCCGTGCCCCTGTTCTGTCCTGTCTGGTTTTGCAAGCCCTGTGCCAGAGGAAAGCCTTGCCTACCTCTCTGCTGGGAGCCAGGAAAGTTGCAGCTCTGCTGCAGGAAGAGGTGGTGTAAGTGCTCCTTGCTCTGCTGAGGCAGAGCTTGCTGTTTTCCTTGTGGTGACTTGGCTTGACCTCCATGATTTTTCCCAAAGGCTGAGGAGCACTCACACAATGTGTGCTGTGAAACAGCAACTGCAGCAGTTATTTCTAGCGGATGGGCATTGGTTAGCGATCCCTGCTCAGTTCAGAAGAGGGCACCTGTCTACAGTCTTAGTGACTGCTGTGTTCTGGTAGCAGTAATTCATGAGACTGAAGATCAGATTTTGCTCAACATCGACATCTCCTCCAACCTCAGAGGTTGTACAAACTGTAACTGAGAATCCTTTTCCACCGCTGCTGCTGATTTGTCTCCAAGCTACTTTTGAAAGGCAAGGCATACTCATGCCCTGTGGTGTGAAGGCATTCCCACTTTGTTCTAATGGATTTTAGACAAAGAAAACCCACATGTTGTTAGAGGCAAATTTCAGGCAATACAGAGGTGCTTTTGCTAACTGGGTGATAACCCATGATACCTTTCTGATAAGACCAAATGTCAGCTGTTCTGTATCTTTTACTGTCCTTCTTTATGTGAGCATTTCTGGTGTAATTCACTTTGATGCTTCACTCTGGCAGGCGGGTTTGCAGATTCTTTGAGCACTGATGGCTTAAATGTATATTCTTCTTCTAGACCATCATCTGCAAATAGCATAAACAGCAACAGTTCTTCAAACCACAGTGGGTACGTACCAGAACTGCCACTGCCTTCCATGGGAGGAGATTTAACAAGCAGATTGTCCAGTGATGAAGGAGAAGCGGATGGAGCTGAAGAATCTGAGAAATTAGACTGTCATTTTTCTGGACACCATCCCAGACCTCTTGGGGTATGTGTCTGTCTCTGGCATGCCTTGCTGTAATTCTTATGTAGTTAGAGAGGGAAGGAAAAGAAGTAATTTAGCAAAAATGTAAGGAATGAGGGCCTTACACTCTGAAAACTGTGTTCTAAAGAAATCAAATACATTTAACAGAAAATTGTATGGATGGGATAAGGTAGGAAGAAAAGACTGGTTAGTGCATGTGACAGGGAGGTTGTAGAACAAGATGAGCAGCCAAAAATCACAAGTTCTAGTTTTAGATTTTTCTCTCAGTAGATTGCAATGCATGTGCAGTCCTGCTCAAGTGAGGAAAGCTGCACTGTTTTCACTATGACATGAGCAGATAATCTCTTTGTAGTCATAGTTCTTACGGAGCTGTACCTTACAATTGGTTGCATCTCTGAAAATCATATGGCAACAAAGGGCTATTACAGTGCTTCACTGATTTTTGTCATCTGGTTTGAATCAGTAATTAAGTATCATTTATGTGAGTGTATGTAGACTTAGAAGCCTTCATTCATCTAAAAATGGAAAGTCTAGAGTACAGCATAGCCCGTCTGCTTTGGTGGTGGCTCAGGTATGTGCTTCTCTGGCAGCTGCTTTTGTCTTTCCCATGTTGGTGAGAAATTTAATGGTAAGTAGTAAGAGCTGCCTTGTGGCATTATCTCTGCGGTGTGAACTTGTTTACACTGTACAAACCGAGAAGGAATGGGAGAACTCTTGAACTTTGAGCAGTTGGTTCTCATCAAAACTGAGCCAAGGAATGAAATTAATGATGAATTCCCTTATGTGTTTTCCATATGATGTGAATAATAAAACAAACAGTGTGATAACTGTAGCATTGTCTATATTCCCTAGAGCAAAGGAGAACTTGTTACTGTCAGACACCAGTAAAAAGTATGAGCTGAACATAAAATGACTGTCAGATGAAATTCTATATTTGGTTCTTACACAGAAAAGAATTATTATAGGCCATATCATATTGTGATATGCAGGAACCTTGTGCTTCCTTGGTACTTTTGTATTCTACTTTGGTTTTGCTGACTGCTTCTCTATGAATTAAAAACTAAAGCTTCACAGCATGTGTGTCCACACAAATGAACAGTCTTGTACACTCATCATCAGTGAGGCCTGGCTGTCAATGGCCATTCTGGTTTAGGATCTTTGTTCTGTTTCAAGGCATATCCCACTGACTCATCTGTACTTTGAGATCTCAGCACCTCCCAGCTGAAGCAGTTACTGGTAGTGCAGCTGTTCTTAGTCCAGATCAACAGGAAGTCAGAAAAGATGGTATAAATCACCTTCGGCACAAGCTTCTGCTAACTTGCTACATGTCATATTGAAGTGCACTGGTTTCCTTATAAAGTCTATCTCCCAGCTAGGTGGTAGTAATTGGTGGGGAAGAGGCAGTAGCTTCTTAACCTACCTCTTAGTGGTAGCTGATCTGTGGCACTGGGAGGTGAGACTAGTTTATCAGCTTAGGTGGGGGTTTGAACTAACCTGTTTAACCTTGTCATGAAACAGATGTAAGATAAACAGGGAGTCACTACTCACTATCCAGTAAGCTGAAGGTACTGTAAACAGATGATGTTCTACTCCATCAGCTGCTTCTGCTTCAGACTTGGTCCCTGCATGGGGGAGTGTTGTCTTATTTTCTGAGGATGATTTATAACAGGTTTCTCTCCCACAAATACGTTTTGCGGCAGTTCTCTGGGTGAGATCAGTAGGACTGAACTGAAGAAGGGTAGATTCCTTATAATTCCATTTCAGTGTAGTGTAGTAGGACTTTTCATGAAGTTCCCCAGAGGAAGTAGTGCAAATATGCCTGAGCTCTGAAGAACTCTCAAAATATTTACTCCTCCTCTAGATGATTTCCATACACTGAAGAGGGTACCCACTGTTCTGTTGTGTAGCACAGGTACCATGCATAGTTACACATTTACTAACCTGTCACTTATTTATTTATTAAGCAGATAGTAAAGACATTCTTGTTGCACCTTTTTCCTCTCCAGTTGTGTTTTTATTCCTGTTACACGATTATGAGATTTGATGTGTACAGAATGGTGAAACTGTCTTTCAGAGGCAGTAAAGAGTATTAGTAGGCAGAACTGATTCTTAACATTACCTCAGCATTTATATTCTTTTCCTGTTGCACACAGGTGCCTGATAGCAAACTGACTTGTTAGTGAAATATGAAGTATACTTGACACTGAGCTGAAACATTGTGCACATATTCGTGTATCATTAAAAAAGTATTTATGCTGTAGGTCGTGAAACTCACCTTTTTCAAAGGTGTCTTATGTGCATGATACAAATTACAAAGGTTTTCCTTGATCTATAAATGAATATTTTCTAACATAGATATATATGTTTTAAGCAATGTTGAAATACCTTTTCTTTCAGTTTTGTTCATACGGCAGTCGCTTAATGGGAAGAGGGTATTATGTCTTTGACAGAAGATGGGACCATTTTCGATTTGCGCTAAACTCCATGGTAGAAAAACACTTGAACTCACAGATGTGGAAGTAAGTGGGGGTTTTACACTTGGTGGGTAGTTTAACATTTTTAATTCTGTAAAACTTCTAAATTAAACACTCCATGGGAAGCATTTGTAAAGTTACCTCTGTATTAAGACATAGCAGTAATACAAGTACAGATTTTCTCTTCTCTCTTAAGGAATACACAAGCACAACTGATCAATCTCCTATTCAGATGTAAATTTACACCAGATTTAGCGCTTTTTTTTTAGCCCCTCTGAAGCTGGGGAGGAGTAATTCATTAGTTAACATTAAAGCATTAAAACTCAGTGTTTTCTGGGTTTGGAGATACGTTTTGCTATCACATAGTTTTATAACACACAGGTTAGATTTTGCCTAGACTTCTATGTCTATATATCATGTACTCTTATCACCCACTCAGAGTTTGCTCTGTAAGACTTGTGTTTTGTGAGATCAGGAACTCAGTACACACTTGCCTGTGCGTAAGATAGGATGTGGTAGTTTTTTTAGTCAGTAGTACCCTTGCTGGCTGTGAGGTCTTAAAGTTCTGATTATCACTCACTGTTGAAGCCCCTCTATATCATGTGTGCAAGTTCCAAACACTATAGGCTTTGGCTGCACAGGTACATGAAAATAGACTGTACTAATAAAAACCATGCTAATTCTTTAAAAAAAAAAATCTATTTGAAAAGCTCATGCCATCTGCAGGTAGGATTGTTGAGGTTTTTTGGGGTATTCTGCTACAGCATAAGCATACTTCCAATGTAATGACACTAAAGTGCAGTGTTTCATGTCACTGTTTATTATCAGGACTGTATTATATTCATTGGATGGCAGCCATTAGATAAACAAGGTTTGACTTTTATTTAACTGTATTTTTGAAACACTAAAGCTTGGCTTGTCTGACTAACCTGGTAACTTGATGATAACAGTGCTACTGTGCTGGGAGACATAGTTTGGAAATGGTTGGGTTTGCCATAAAAGGGCCAGTGTCATGTCGATTTAGGGACAGATCATGCTTGATCTGCAGGGGGGTTCCTCTCTTCTACTTTGTAAATTTGGCTGTTAACTAGTGTCTGTCACCTTCCTCAAATAAAACTACTTAGTTTTTTTAAATAAGAAGGTTAAAACTTGTTGTCTATTGGCTTTGTTTGTTAGGACAAACAAAATGTGTCACTAGTACCACTACTATCACGAAAACCAAAAATAACCTCTGTAGTAGTTACATGATACAAGAAATAAACAGGCCTCATTCTTTTCCCACTAAATCCAATTGTAAATGTTTTCCCACATTCTACCTGTTTATGTAGTCTCTAATATTTTAATGAATTCCATCTGTACTTACTTGTCTGTGTAACACAGGAAGCTCACAGTGCTTAACCCCTGTTATATTCTTCTGTTGTCCTCAACCCTCCTCTAGACTGATTTGTTCCTGTCTTCCCCAAGCAGGAGTATGGGTAAAGCTGTTTTATAACTGGTGCCTCTGCAGCTCTGTAGTTGGAGCTACAGGTACACGGATACCAGGCCATGTTTTGAGAGTGATAATTACATTTACAAAGTACTTTTTACCCCTAGATCTCACAGTACTTGACAAAGGTGGGTAAGAATTATCGGCCCTTCCTTAAAAATGAACTGAGGAATGGATCTGAGAAACAGCTCTGTTCACATAGCAAGTTGCAGGCAGTAGGACTTCCTCATTTCTGGCACATGAACTGTATGTAATCCCTTATGTAACTGTGCCATAAACAGTGTTCTGTCTGACAGTCTCCAAAGGAGGAATACCAGGAGAGAGCACTTGTAATTAGGATTTGATTTATGATAAAACAGCACACCCAGTGCTGCTCTTTTGTCATACTTCTTTGAGGGCAAGAATAAGCCTTTAAAAACTAACAAGGTGTCAGTAGTGAGGATAACAAGGGCAGAGTTATGGTGATGTACAGCTTCTTAACAAAGAGAAAGAGGATTAAACTGTGAATTAAATTGTATTCTAAATAATGAGAAAAGCTCACATAATTTTCCAAGAGACATTACAGAAGTCTGGTTCTTTGTTAACACTGAACTAGATAAAATAATAGATGATGATGGCTGAGCAGAAAGGAATTTGAATACATTCTACTAATTTCACAGGAATTATTATTAGATTTTATTCTCAGAATAGTACTCAACTAGTTACAAATCTTATCAAGCTTTGTTTAATAATTTGTCAATTTTTCAGTATCAGTGAAATTAATCAGTAGCTTACGTAGCTAATTCCATCTAGCCAGCTCCCAAATGAGCTGTTGGGAGCACCACTGCATTTGGAAAGGGATGAGCTTTCCTCTTTAAACTCAGTGATTAAATACTTCACAACTCCCCAGAACTGGCTCGTTTACTACCCTCATCAAATCTAACCTGTGAGTTTAGGTTGATATGGAAACAATTCCATAACTTGAACTTTCAAACAAAACATACACAATGAGTGAAACAGAGTGACTAGTATCTCTATAGATCCCAGCATCAGACATTTTATTTGTATTATTTGTTTGGCAAAACAGGAGAGGAAAAAAGGAAATTAAATTCATAACAAAGTGATTAAATTGCAACACAATGCACATAATTGCTACATGGGGCACTTGTGCTGAAGTGGAGCTCAGTTCTGGTTTAACTGAGTTACACAGTTTAGGACTCATGTGCCATGACAGAATTGTGTAGGGAAAATTATGCTGCATGGTTCTTTATCTCATCAGCCTCTGTTAGGTCTCTGCTGCCTTCACAGATTTAATGTGCCCCATTTCAAAATTAATTTTTAGGAAAATGTACTCCACAATCCAGCTTTCCTGAATTTTTGCAATATTAAAATACTTGTGGTTTGGGGTTTGTTGTTTCTATTAAATCCCAAGGAAACCTCATAATGGAATTGCAGGTTAAAAAAGAGGGAGGAAAAATCACAAGCAAAAGTGTTTTTAAGCTGTAGAATGCAGAGCTGATTTTGACTGGTGAATATGAAAATACATGTGAACGGTAGAATAGGCATCAAAATTGGAATGATCTAGGTTTGCATTTTTTAACAAGTTGGTCCTTCTCAGAAGTTGTTTCCTATCTGCATTGTTCAGATGGATTTTTTTTATGTATCTAAATGTTTTCTTCTTTTTTCTCTTTTCCCCTCCCCATCCCTCTTCTTAATTTAGGAAAATTCCTCCTGCAGCAGATAGTCCCATGCCTTCTCCAGCAGCACATGTCTCCACTCCTTTTCCAGCATCAGTTTTACAGCCTTTCAGCACCCCCAGTGCGGTGTATATTCCTTCAACACCTATCAGTTCCAGAATCACTTCTTCTTCTTACCTAATGACATCAGCCATGTTATCAAATGCAGCCTTCGTGACAACATCAGATACGAATTCCATTATGTCACACACTACAGCTTTTCCTCACATGGCTGCGAGCCTAAGTATCATGGACTCAACTTTCAAGGCACCATCAGCTGTGTCACCAGTGCCAGCAGTCATCCCTTCCCCATCCCACAAGCCATCCAAAACAAAAACCAGCAAATCCTCAAAAGTGAAAGACCTGTCATCTCGGGGTGATGAGTCTTCAAGTAACAAAAAGAAAAAGCCGCAGTCGTCGTCCTCATCATCATCGTCATCGTCCTCGTTATCTTTGCAGACATCTTCCTCGTCTTCATTTTCAGGGTCCCACAAAAAGAACTGTGTCCTGAACCCCAGTTCGACTTTGAACTCCTATCAGGCTACATCTTCCTATAACAGCATGTCTCTGCACAATACAAATAACGGAACAAGCCCACTCAGTGCCAAATCGGAGCCCTCAGGACGGACTTCATTATCAAGTAGTTCAACGGACTCAGTGAAACATATGAGCATGGTAGTAAGCAGTATTGACTCTTCTAATCTGTCTGTATCTTCTCTTGTGCATCACTCAGGGGACCACTCCCTGGGAGCACATAACGCAGTGTCTTCTCTACCCCTTTCTTTTGACAAATCAGAAGGAAAAAAACGTAAAAACTCTAGTTCTAGTAGCAAAGCCTGTAAAATCACTAAAATGCCTGGTATGAATAGTGTTCATAGAAAGAGCACTGCCAACCTTATTTCTGCGGTGCCAGATCCTACAAGCAGCTCCATCTCTCGGCAGGTAAGGGACTCTTCCAGTTATTTTTATGCAGGTCATGTCTGATTTGAAATATTTCATGCACTCTTAAAAGAAAATACTGTGTTTGCTTCAGATTGGTTTCCATCACACAACTTACTTTCTAGGTTAATACAGGAACATATTTGTATTTGTTTTGTACCAATCAGAGAAAGATGTTTTTAGAGTTTTAAAATATATATCTACTTTCATAAATATTTTAATGAGATTTTTTTTATTCAATTAATAAAGTAGCCATTTGTATCTCTGAAAGTGAAATGGAATGTCCAGAATGGATAAAGAATTTTTAGAGATTAATTTTTTTACCTTAATTCTCATATCTGAAATAAATGGTGTCATTAAAACAGGAAGATAAGAGTCAGCATTTCTGTTTGTTTCTTTTTCCCAAACTTGTGGCTGATTCATTTCTTGATGTTACACAAGTCTCCTCTTTGCTCTGATGTATAAGGCTTACATCTACCTTTCCCCTGGAGAAGGTCTCAGGTGCCTGACCTCAAGTGCTGTTTCCTGTTTGAAACAGGAAACATGAAGAAATTAGGATCCTAACCAAGATGACCTTTAACATTTGGTTATCTTTTGTAGTGTGCCTGTGTTCAGAATATTGAAGTCAATGCAGCAGATAAGGTTACACAGTCTTACTTCATTGTCAGCTTTGGCTGCTCTTTGTTGCTATATAAGGACAAAAGTATATGTGAAGTAAAATTTGGTGGAAGAACTGGCAGTATGATCTTTATAATGATCTACTGTTTGTTCTGCTGCTGTGTCCAATGCTGTGCATCGCACAGAAAACACAGCTTGGCCCAGGTATCTGGAGGACAAAACCATAGAAAATAGAATACCTTACAAAATCCAGAGAAGGTTGCTTAGGAAGACTTTGTTTGTTTGTTTGTGAAACTCTCATTTCCTAAGGATGTTGCATATCAAACAGAATTTGGAAATGGAGAGGGTAGGGTCTTGAGCGAAGGAATCCAAAAGTAATTGCAGACAGAAATGGGAGTGGCAAGGGGGGATAAATGAATTGTAAAGCTGGTAAAGCAGACAGAATGAATATCTCAGAGAATGGCTTAGCAAGTGTATGTTCTTTTTCCAACTTCCAGCCGAGGTGCAACTGAGATTACTTGTTTGGCTTTTAAAAATGGATAGTGGCATTGTCATTCTGTTTTAAGCCCTTTAAATGTGTCCTGCAAAGAGAACTGATCTCGAAGTCACTGCAGTCAGTGGAGGATGCTGTAAGCTTTCCAGTCTGTCACACATCTGATTTTTGAAATACGTGCGGGCCCAAAAAGATTAAATTGCCCTGAGATACACGATCTCAAGTGGGAAGTAAAAATAAGTACAAATGGTTACTTTGGTGCAAACATGGAAATGGATTGTATCGTCTTTTCACAGTACACAGACTGCATCTGTAGCTAGAGCCGTCTGACGAAGGCTTACAGATACACGCAGGAGGTTCTGAGTTCCAATTCTGGCTCCCTAGTGATTCAGTCTGTTCCTGTGGGACATTCCTGTTCGGTTTTGCTGTCTTTCAGCAGGTTGCACAGTAATAGAAGTAAATAAACCTCAGAGGATCAGTCAGACGTCTTTTCTGAGTATTTGTAAAGATGTAATTCACACTCATATTTTTTTCTTTAAGTAAAAGCTTAAATATATGTAATGTGTAATGAAATGCAGTTTTTTAAACAAGTTTCTCTCTACACATACAGGTGTATGCATATATACACACATATATGCATATATGTGCATATATATATATATGTGAAAGTTGGTCACGCTTTCCTCTTGCACTGCTGGTCTTTGGAGCTACATTAGTAATCAAAAATACAAGATAAAGTGGAGTTTGTGTTTCAGGTGTCTGGCTGGCAGCTCATTGTCTCTGACAAGGATACAGAATTGTATGTGATACAAAATAGACGTTTCCTACTGTTTATTTGTGCTCTAAATAAATGAAATTTGTACCCACTTAAGCATATGGGTCAAATAATATTCCATACTCTACAAGTGAATATTAAAGCTCTGAAGAATACAATACTTGAAATCACTTTTAAGTTGTGCTGGTTTGACTTGCAGTGTTCTAGAAATGCAATCCCAGTAAAAATTACACCAGAAAAATCAGTATTACTTAAGATCTTGCCCCTGTTCCCTGATGTAATAGGGCAAATTAAATTAAGAGACTAAGAACACAGAAAGGAGATCAAGTCACATAGGCTCAGTTTGGGTTTTTTTCTAATTCAGTTCAAGTCTGGCCTAGAGAGATAATAACGGAAAGCATTAACAGTTGGGTTTTGAAGCATACTTTATTGTTAAAAGAGAAAAAAAATAAAAGGATTTGAGCCTTGGCCTCACCCTAGTCCTTTTGCAATGGTGTTGCCATCATTAAAGACCCAACATGACCGGGAATCATTCTTATCTTCATGGAGTGCTGTAACTGCTCAATCTGCCTGATTCACCCTCCTGTCTGGGGCACTGCATCCTGAATGAAGCTGCTCCAAGCCCGACCTCAGTGCTACAAGCTGTGCTGCTCCCTGCTTTGTCCCATGTCCAGAGCCAAGCTGTTAGTTGTAACAGCACTGCATGAATGAAAGCCTAAACAGGCCGAACGTTCCCTCTCAACGATTCTAGGATCTCAGCAAGTCAATTTCCTAGTGGTTGTTGTGGATTTTATTACAGAAAGGTTTATGGATGTTCTAATGATGGTTGTAGAGAAGAAAGGTTTGCAGCATCATGATGTTCTGAGTCGCTAGGAAAGATTTTACAAGGCTGTGTATCTTTGGTCAGTATTTGTATACTGAGGAAAAGCACATTACTACCTGGAGAACAGCTGTGGCATGCAAACCAGCAAGCTAAAGGGACCAGGACAAACAGAGGCCTAGCCTTTTACTCTTTGTGCACCTCAGGAGCTGCCTTAGAACCGGCCGTAAATAAAAACTTTAAACACTTCTGGATAGCATGTGAAGAGAGAACTCAGTTTTAAACAGTTACAGTGTGAGAAAGGCCTGATATGGAGAGGGAGACAAAGACTGCCTTTCATATATATACGTGAGATGGCAAAATAAACAAATGATGTTGCAGAAGAGAAGGAAAAAACTGATGTTGGTGAACACCCCGCCAGGCAGTGCCACAGTCCAGTCTATTCAGTAAGAAACTTGGAACTGCATTTCTCACTGTTCAGAAGGCAGGCCCTTGCTACCTCTCTACCAAATAGTTAAAATTGATGTTGCTTGAAGTCCACTGACCTTGTGAGTAACTGTTCAAACTCCAGTCATCTGCCCTTTGCAGGCAGGTGTCCATGGTTCATTTCTGTCAGCCTCGTAACCCCTGAGGAACTACTCCTCTGACTTAACAGCTGGCTCCCCTTTTGTACCACCACAGAAGTATCTACACTATGTGTATGGGTCGTTGTAGAAAAACCTCAGGCAGGCTGCTCTTACAGAGTGCTGTAATGTCTCAAGCATTGAAATATGCAGATTGACTATTGCAATATTTCAACGAGGCACTTTTAAAACGTGTATATGTGCACTGTCAGTTTGCACTCATTCCCAAAGAAATTCTCTGATGCAGTAAATTCATATAATTGTCAATATAAACCTCTGGAGTTTGATTCTTCTGCTAATATTTGCATTATTGAGCAATGACAATAAATGAAGATTCTGTAAAGAAGAAAATGGAATACCTTAGGGCATGCTGTGGTGCTTGGGCTCTTGCTTTAAACTCCTCAGGATCAGGGAGGGTCTCTGGGCAGGAGTCTGTGAGGGTGAGCACTCTTGTGCTCTGGCAGTGGCTGACCAGCTGCACTGTGACTCCAGGAGCTAGACAAACTGTCATTTCAGTGTAGAGAGGTGTGGCTTTGCAATCTAAATTCCCTAGGTAACTGTTTCTTACGTTGTTTTCTGACCTGTAATAGTATTTATGTGCCTTTTGAGAGTTTATTTAAAGTATACAGGCTCTGAGAGATAATTATGATTCTGTCTGAAGTGTATCTTTTGCTGTAGCAAAATACCTGTGTTCCAAATGCGAAGCAATTAGTGCCACTTTACACAGGAAAGAGAAAGCCATTTCCAGCATCTGCGTTCAACTGACAAATATGCCTCTCAATACTGCTCAATTAATGTTTTTCAGATTGGGAAAAATAGCAGTGTAGCTTTGTCACAATCCAGTCCTTCGAGTACATCAAACCCTGTACACAACAGACAAGTAAGTTGCTTTAAAAAAAAAGTGTCTCTAAGCAGTTTTGAAATACTTTATACTGTAAAACCTTAAAATACCATTTCTTTATGAAGGCAGTTCCTTACAGAAGCTGTCTTCCGGTGAACTGATACTAGATTTCTCCTCTCACATAATTTTTTTTCCAGCTATTTTCTCCTCTGAGATTTATGAATAACAAGTTTCCTGCTTGTTTTGTACCTGGAATGCACCTCAGGTTGGCTTACGTGCTGTTCGCTGGCTGTTACTTTGGTGTGATACAAACTGAGCAGCAGCAGCACTGTCTGCGCAAGATCCAGTTTAGGCGGATGTGGGGTTTCTGTCCAGCCTCCCCTGCTGAGCGAGATGGCACAGCAGAGTCCCCACTGGCACAGGAGGACAGCATTTAAAAATAGGCCACAAGTGAAAGCAGGAGGGAGGACAGACCAGGACAGAGAAGACAGGGCATTAAAAATAGTTTGGATCAGTCACATCGTAAGATGAACTGCCAAACAGTATAGTTATTGTTTTCTTTTGGTGCTGAATGCAAAGCAGCATATAGAACTGCTGTGAAGGGAAAAGAGTGGCAAGTTTCTTCATACTTCTAGGGACTGGCATTTTCCAGTGTGAGACACTGTCATCCACCTGCCAGTAACAACCATGGGATAAAGCTGTTCTGAAATGCAAAGCTTCTTTTGCTTCAACCTCCTGCTCCGATGTTAGTGTAAAATGTATGCTAGAGGAGGAGCAGAGTGTGTTGGGATCAGTTGCCTACATCCCGTGGGGAAAACCTAACAGTACAAAACATTCATTTTGTGGCAGCCTTCTGTAAACAGAGGCTATTGCTGAGCTCTTCAGCTGCCTGTTTCTGCAACTTCATCAAAAATAGAAGTGTTCACTTGGTTGAAGCTCCACAAGCTCCTTATTGTTCAGATGATGTTTCTGTCACTGTGGTAGCTGAATATGGAGCTCAGAATACAAATACAAAAAACATTATGATGTATTAAGTGTTATTAAACTTAAACACAGGATTTTAGTATTTGGAACCATGAATAATGATTGCCTATCTAATAAATGCTTGTCACTGTCAGAACAAAACTGAGCTGTTTTGTTGACAACTTTCATCTGCAATCTAGTAACTGAATAGACTCAAAATAAAACTTCAGTCTAAAAGCATGCTATAATATTTCTTTATAAAAGGCATTACTAATTAGGTAACAATAAGAGGATCTGCAAGTAAATGCTGTGTCAGTAAATACATTACTGGAGGAACATGAGCTCTTTTGTTTTTAATGTTCATGTTATAACCGTGGTAATCAGGGAGTCCAAGTTGAAGTGAGGTGTGTAGGCAGAGACAATCTCTGCTATATGCTGAGGTTCAGAGTTAGAAAATGAAGCAAGTTTTCATGAATACAAGTCCGAACAACAGACTTTTAACAGTGCAGTTGAAGTAGAATTGCAGCTGTTAAGCTAAATGTGCTTGTAGAGCAGTTACTGGCCTGCCTCCACTGTGCTGCCTGGTCAGGCAACCTGTTGGGGTTGTCTGCTGGTGCACAGGAGGAGTAAGAAGGGAGATTGTTGTCCCTTAGGAGAAGGGAGAGGGGTCCTTAATTCCACATGGGGTTGACTGACTGGGTGAGAGTGAGGATTTGGGAAGCTGCAGAAGGCTGTCAACCCAGCCTCGTTCAGACGTGGTCACCTGCATGCAGTCCTACTGGGAAAGGCAGCTTCCTGCTCACCTTCCAACCTAAGTGCTCTGAACCTTCCAAAGCAGCAGTGCTCTGAAAGTCACCTGCCATCTGTAACTGGGTATTTCTCATTACTAAGTTGTGAGATAAAGGTGCCTGTGGCAGTTCTAGTTTCACACTAGTGGTTTCTTTCTGTCATTTGCTGCATCTGTGGAAGCCTCCTGTACTCTGAGGTACTCCTGTGGGGACTGGTGGAGTGTGAGGATAACTCTTGTGGGCCTGGCTGCTCTCTCCCATCACCTTAAACTTGGTCAGGTTAAACCCAGCGAATTGTTCTCAGTTCATGTTTAATGTGAATGTTGCTGCATCCGTTTGAAACCCGAATAGGGGCTTGTATACAGAAAAGCGTGGCTGATTTTCCAACTGTTGTTGCTTTAAGTAGAAAAGATATTACTTTTCCCTACAAAAATTACTTGTTTTTTAACAAACATTAAGGGAATAGTAGTTTTATGCTCAAATTATTTGTGCCTGTTAATGCAAATTTTCACAAGCTTGTTTTCTCCAGTTTTTATCCTTGTTCTAGGTTTGTAACTAATCAAGTGTTTTTGTCTTCATAGTGCCTGAATGTGTTAACACTTCAAGACCTCAGTATGTGGTGTTTTTTAAAGACTGAGTAACTAGATCATTGTATTAAGGGAGGTGACAAGGTGTATGCTGTATGGGGATTCCTTCTGCATGGAAACATGCTGTGTAGAGGAAAAGATTCTTCAGAGTTGTCTGTTTAATTGTTCCTCTTTATTTGTAATGATACACCAAGTTAATGACCATGGGATTCACCAAAGCTTACTAAAAGCAGACAGTGCCAAAAGGAAATACGCTGTTTATTCAAAGCAGTTCCTTTCCTTAAATGTAATCAGTAAACAAGGAGGGAATTCAGTTCAGAGACTTGAAATAAATTCCTGCTCTGAGTTGTGTCAGATGTTATTAAGTTTTCTGTGCTAGAAGACATTCTGTGATTTTGAACCTGGCTCTGGTTTCTCTTCTAGAAGACGTCAAACCGGACTGGTAGAATAAGGACTCTTCCATGACAAGGAAAAGGAACCAGCCTATAATCTCTAGCTCTCAGCAGCCCTACGCCACAGGGTTTTTTCTTTTCTATGTCCTGCAGATGGATTTAACCTTTTATGAATTTGTGGTTTTAAAGAGAATTAAATTTACAGACAACTGTAATAGTGATTTGTTTAGTTTTTCACTTGTATTTGCCACTGATCTGTGTGTTCTGCTTGGTTATGTTTCATGCCTTTTAAAGCTGTTAGCGTTGCAATGCTCCCTTTGTTTCTTACCAGAACACAACGGACATTCCAAGAAACAAAAGAAATCCAGATCATGATTTGAATTAATTTAAAGGATCTCCAAATGTTTTCATGAAATAAAAATTACAGTAATTCTGTATTTAAGCTTGTCCTATGGATAAAAATGGAGTGCATTTCTTAGTAACTTGCAAACAGCTGGGGCACTGCAACTTTAGGGACTAATCCTGACTGGTGCTTTGTACCTACAGCATTTAATAATTTCAACGGGAATTCTAAGTGTTCAGCCTCTTCCAGGATCAGGCTCTTAAGGAACCTCCACTTCAATCAATGCAGAGCGCGTTTTTGCACCAAACTGTAGTTAACGTTATCAGGGGCTCAGTGTGTAACATCCCTGTATCCCGGTGGATTTGTAGACCCTCAAGATCATGGCACTTGATAGCTTCAGTGAACAGTTTGGGTTTGCAAGGGCAGGAGTTGAGCAGATTGACTTGCATTAATAGAATTGCACTGACAGTGTTTCTTATAGGATTACTGAATAATTTTTTTAATAAAAGGTAGATTTTTTTTAATCAGTAAGCCAATACTGGAACAACAGAACAGAGCAGTTAATTTTTCTTTCTACAGTGTTAAAAGTGCACTTATATGCTGGTTTATTTACATCTTTGGTGGGGGGGTGGGGGGGAAGACGAGAGACTGCAAATAGGGAGATTATTACTACTTTCTTTTTTAAAAAAAGAAGGCTTAAGGCAAATTTTAAGGCTAAAAAAGTTGAAGCAATTATAAACAAGGTTGGACCCTTTGAAAAAAGTTTAGAAATATTCTTAAAGTAAATTTTTATAGTGTTAATTTTGTAATAATTTATGTTTTGCTATACTTCAGAGCTAACTGACCGCCATAGTTTCAGAAACAGTATGAAACTTAGGAAAGTTGAAGCAATGTTTATATTTTTAAGATGTTCTTTGAATTATGTTTTTATTGTACATTTCTTCAGACTGAAAAAAAAAATGTGTACATATCTTGGTTATTTTTGCACAATTTTTGTCTCGTTCAGTTGTAGGAGCAGTGCTGTGTGGATTATTTTCTTTCTTTCCTTTAATTTATTTTGAGTTATAAAACTGCAGGAGTTTAAAAATCTCAGTCACAAAGTCATCCTCTGTAATCAATGAACTGCTATTTCTAGTCATTGAGGGAAAACAGTGGTTGGGAGATCCAGTGGTTGCTTCTGAGAAATAATGCTAATCAATGACTGAAGGAGCGATTTTGTACTTTTTAGGAAGCTTTAGCTCTATCCATGCATCTTTTAATTGGAAAGCTGGAAAATGGAGCCTGTCCTTTTGAATGCTGCTTAAATGTTTTTCAACTGGCTTACACCTGACAGCATTTGAGGAGAGTTAAGTGTGAACTAAAACCCCATGGTGTTCTTTCATCATCAGAGAGTCATTATGTAATTCTGTGGATCAAAAATTTCAGCCTGCAAAGTGAAGTGGAAGTAAACATTGGGAAAAAAATCCGGAGACAAACTGGACCAGCCTGTAATGCATCCTTAGCGTAGCATTCACTCGGTAGTTCTTTTTCTCCCCCATTTGCCTGAAAATCGTGTGATTTGTTTCCAGCAATAGAGGCTCAGAAGCTTTGGTTGTTACACATTCGCAATGCATAGGCCCGTCAGCCATAAAAAGCGACTTGGATAACTTGTATGCCTTCTTTTGTATCAATGTAACAATTGTACATAGTGCTGATCGACCTTTGTAGAGAATAGTTTATACAGCATATTCTATTATTGCTGATTCTCAGTGAACTATTGTTTTAAAAAAAAGAAGAAAAAAAGAAATTTTTCTATTTACACCTTATATTTTGTTATGCTGTTGACCCATGGCACTTTAACAAAACTCTGTGGGTTTTGCATAGCTGGTCAGTCATGGGATATATTAAATAACTGTTGTTGCACAGAAATGAATTTGCACCTGCTATATTGTGCTTTCCTACTACAGATTTTAGAACCTTTTCCAGAAGACTTTTGAAGAAAGCATGTCCAATCATTCTAAGATTTAAAAAAATGCCATAACTTGTACAGCCAATTTCTTTTCTACAATCCATATTTTGTAACACTAAGTATTTTCATTCTTTGTCCTGCACCTTTATGTGTTAGCAGTATCAAATAGAATTCATTCCATGCTTGTGATAATTGTAAGCAGAATAAATGTCTAAAGTAGGTGTAAATAGTAAATTCTATGGCTTACAGTTTAAAAGAGGAAAACCAGAACAAACGTATCTGATTGATACTGCCATGGTTCAGCACCGGGCCTGGAGATATTCTCTAGTGAGCGATTGTATTTTTTTGGTTTTTGCTTTCTTTTGGGTTTTTTTTTTGTTTGTTTGTTTGTTTTTGGTTTTGTTTGGTTTTTTTTGTAACATGGCTTTGTAAATAAAATAATTTATATGTTTGTAAGAAACAGATGCGTTTGTCATTATTCATCTGTGCAGAGTGACAATGGTAGGTATCGTACACACTGTGCCCATAGCCAGCCCTGAGAACTTGACTGGTAGCACAAAGATCTGCCCAGCTCTGTACAGGGCTGAATTGCTCTGGATTACTTCTGACATTCGTTCCTCCAGTATGTCTGTTTTTATATGCCAGGGCATGGGTGACAATCAGCTGCTGAGGGCTATGCACTGATAAATCATTTTTCAATTCCTTTGCTTAACTGAATGCATTTTCTCATTCCTTATCAGTGTAGATGAACTTGGCTACAGCCACTGGAGTTAGGAATTCTCACTTCAGTGGGCAGTACAGATGTAAGACTAGGCTTTTTATCATTGTTGATACTGAAAATGCAACTTTTATCTAGGCGTTAAGATTCCTGTTCTGTGTAAAGCCTGTTCCAATAACAGATCAATGAGACTCAAATTGTCCATTGGATTGTCAGCTCTGCAGAGAGGACTGCAGTTCTTTCTCTCACAGCAAACCTCTCTTGCGAATCTGGGGAAGATACAGAATTCCATGTTCCTGCAGGGAAGATGCTCACAAATAAGGTATCATCTGTTCTAAAATCAAGACATTTGGACTGCAAGCTACATTTTTGTATGCATACACTGAGAACTGGCAGTGGAGGTAGAAAGCTGGGCCTGCAGTACAGGGAACAGTCTTCGGAGGAGAAAACTTTACCTTCTAGGTAAAGGTTTTTCTGTGATGCCTTGCATGTTCTGATGCCTGTCACAAAAGCTAATCCTGAACTTCCTGTTTACTGTCCAGTCTGTGCCTTGGTCTGCGCTGCCTATAGTTTGAAAACTTGTTCTTTCGTTAATACTGAGTTTATCTTTCCAGTACAGAAAACCCCAACATCCTGGAGCAACAGCAGATACTGAAGTTACATCTGATAGAGTGGTCCCATGAAGAGTGACGTTCTATTTGTAAGCTGCTTTGCTATTTCTAGCAGCCGACAGAAATTAAAGCAACAGCTAAGAGAATGGAATAGTGCAGCTGTGAGTTACGAGTTGCTTGCCCATGGCCGGCAAAGGCCGAAGACCACTGAAATTGTTTTCCAAATAGGAATCCAAGTAATTCTTTAGCGCTTGCAGGTTTGTTAGAATGATTCACAAGCTGTTCTCTATTTGGAGTTGGTTTCCCCCACCCTTTTTTGGTTATACAAGTATTTTGCTTGCAGCAGTACTCTTTACTCTTTTGCTTGTGTTATCCAACATGCCCTAAATGCCACCAGTTTCGGAGGGAAGCAGAACACACTGTAACTTTTTATTCGTCGCACTCTAGGTTTTGTGCTTCTGGTTTTACCACAGGACTATTTATTTTAGCAGAAAGTCATTGCTGTGTGCACCTAGTATCTGTTTTACTCTTCCAGATCTGTCAGGATTCACAACTGGAAGAAATCCCAAATACTGATTCCAGAAATATTTGGAGGAGATTCATACAACGGATTCAGATTTCAGAACACAAGAATGTTTATTTCATGCAAATTTTTATGCTGGTTTGCTCCTTTAGTACCTCTTGAGAGCTACTACTCATAACAAGTACAGACCTCATGTAGGGCATTCTTTCTGATGTAGATGAAAGACAAAGCTGTGATAATTCAGCAGCAGGTCCCTGTTTGCCTGTTGATTGGAGAATCCATGGTAGATGGTGTGGACACTCTCGTTCTCATTTGTAATGCACCACAAGTGACAAGGGCTGGATTCTTCTGTGTGGTTTTTGGTTGTTTATGGCTGACCTGACTGAGATCTGGTCTGTCATCTGCTCTCCCCACAGAAGGGAGAAGGGAAGCTTTAGGGAAGCTTCCCCTGTTTAGAGCGGACCTTGCCAAAAATAACAGTCAGGATGCAGGAGAACTTGATTTGTGGGTGAGACACCAGTAGGGATTTGAGATGATGCCAACACTCAGCTGTCCCTTTGCAGACTTCCCAAGCCTGAAAGACAAAATTGAATCTGGGTTTGATTAACTTGGAGCAGTTACTAATGTGGTTTACGTGGCACCGCAAGAGACCAGTTTTCCAGAGCAGTTGTCTGGCATGAACAAAGTGTATTTACAGAATGCTACAGGTGTAAAGGCCCATTGGTGTAAATACAGTGAATGGCCACGATGAACTCACGAGTGAAGCCCTGCAAGTCCCATATCTGTCAGCTGATTTCCAGCCTGAGCCCTGCTGAGGCAGAGGAGGAGGTGGTGACAGGGTAAGTAACCATCACTGCAGAAAAGACACCATCATAGTGCTGATTTGGAGAGCTGTGCCATGGGTAAGCAGACAGGTCACTGGAAAAGGATCACTCAGGCCCAACCTTCTAGCCTTTCCCACCACAGATACACAATATAGAGAGGCCTGTTGCCTTAGTTCTGAAGGTACTCTGCGCAGCCTATGCAAGAAACTTCTGATCAGCTCCACTCTTAAACTGCAACTATTTGCTTTCCTTTTTCTTTATTTTTGACCCTATAATCAGCTGAGGGGGAGGGGTTGTCCTGTGTTTTGGGGCTTTTTGGTTGGGTTGGGGGGGGGTGGGGGGTGTGTTTATGGGGTTTTTTTTTTTAAACTTGTCTTGAGTTAGTTACTCCTTCCTTGTTAATTCTCTTTAGGAGTTGTGTTTGGACCACAAAGCCTGAGCAGTAATACCAGCACACTGGGCTTGCTGCTTCACCAAGGAGACACCAAAAGGTGCAGAAAGCTGGTTTTCACTCATGTTACTTTGCAGAGACTTCCAAGACCTGCAGCTTCACCCTGAGCATGGATGCTTCTGAAGAAAAACATTCAAATGCTCCATTTGTGCTCCTTAACCTAGACCAAGCCAAGTGCATGTTTGAAATCAATGCGGACATCGGGAAGCACTCCAAGACCTCTTTCTAGTAGCTGCTTTTACACAGCACTGACTGAAGTGCTACCATTAAAAAAGACATGTGGAGTTATGGTCAAAAACAGGAAAAGACTGAGGCTATTGATCAGTAACATGAGCCTTTGGAGACACATAACCCACACTTACTTTTGCTTCCTAACTGCATGCCCAGACTTTCTATTCACAGTGTTTCTCTTTGGACTCGGGGTGATCAGAGAAACTAAGGCAATGGAGATGGGTCTCTGATCACTACCACCCTGTGTGGTGTGAACTCACTCTACAGACACTGCTAGAATAAAACTATCTGTGGTCTTAACAGCTGTAGACTCAGAGCCACATTTAAACAAAATTGCTGTGTATCTCAAAGAATGAAGACTCCTGCAAAGCAACTTCTTATTCCTTTGCCTTCAGCAAGAGCATGGTTCTAGGATAAGAATTCCTTGGGTTTTCAGTGAACTGGGAAGTGGCTGGTTCTGTAAGAACTGTATCTCCTGATGCTAAACAAGCATTTTTGTAACCTCTGACTCAGAAACAGTGACTGGAAGGACTTTTCTACTTCCTGATAATTTCATTTTTCCCATGTATGATTTTTGGTGGCAGGTTTAGTCTTTATTTTGCAGTTGACTGAAGAAAAAAGAAAAAGCCACTCACAGCTTAGTCTTACGACTGCAGGCTCTTGTTCTTGTGGGCTGGGCTGGCACCGCAGCAGAGGCATAAGTGATCCAGGCTACCTCTGTAGTACACCAAGGACAGCTTCTTGACAGAAGTGCTGCACAAGCTGAGTGGGGCTCTGCTAGACATGCTGCTCATACATGAGGAAGGGCTGGCTGGGAACACTGACACTGGTGGCAGCCTTGGCAGCAGTGACTGAAAGCAAAGCTGAAGGTTCTAAGGGAAGTGAGGAAGTTGAATCATGACCCTGGGATTCAGGGGAGCAAATGTTGTCTCCTGTAGACATTTTGTTGGCAGAATCCCACAGAAGACTGCCCTAAAGGGCCCAAGGGAGGCAGCTGAAGCACAAGAACAGTCCAGCCCGACATGCAGGAAGTTGAGCAGACATGGAAGAAGGTCAGCATGGCTGAATGGGGAATTCCTGACTGATATCAAATCCAAAAGGCAAGTATAGAGACAGTGGAAGCAGGGGTGGGCTGCACTGGAGGAGTACAGAAATGCTGCCTAGGCATGCTGGAGCAGAACTAGGAAAGCCAAAGCTCAGCTGGAACTGGAATTAGTGAGGGATGTGAAGGACACTCTGTACCTTGACGTGGAAGGAAGGCTAAGTAAAATGTGTGCCAAGTGACAAAGGACATGGAAACAACTGAGGTACCACTCGGTGCTGCCTTTGCTTCAGGTTTTAACTCAAAAGGTCTGTGCTCAGATCCTTGGGCAGAGACTAGGGACTGAGGTGCTACCCACATAAGAGGAAGCCTGAGCTAAGGACTACTTACCCTGGATCCATGCCAATCTGTGGGGAAAGCTGGGCTTGATTCAAGGCTGCAGGCTGCTATCACTGCAAGGCTGCAATCACCCTTGAAAGATCACAGGGAACAGGGTTTCTAAGGACTGGGAAAAGGCAAAGGCAATGCCCATTTTCAAGACAGACCCAGGGAGCTACAGGCTGCTCAACCCAACCTCAACCCCAGACACATTATGGAACAAACTCTCCTAGAAGCCGTGTCCAAACAATGTGGATTTACCACGAGGAAGCAAT